CAAGGGAGCGGAATGTGAGTTTTACATTGCTGCAGGAGGGCTGGCTTGCTCAAGTCTTCGTGGTTCTGCTCCAGTGTGATCTCACACATCATGACAGGGATTCTATTTCACTCCAATGACAGTGGTCCTCATTAAGTCAGACCTAGAAGGCTTGGCAAGGCAGAATAAAGATGACCTTGGCCTGTCTTGGGGGACTCAGTGAAGGGGAAACACGCTGGACTTTCTATCGAAATTTTGTAGTTCAATTCTCAAGATAATTCAAGAACCATGCAAACCTTTTGACTCCTTTTTCGCAAGTGGACTATATGTTCTGTTTATCTGCAAAAATGAACACAGCCATTTCTGCTCAACTGTTGTGTTTTTCAAGACAATGATTTGCTACTTGTTTTATACTGAGGCAAAATGATAAGACACATCTGTAGCTCACAGAGAAGGCTGTTTATAGCATCTGCATTTTTACCATTCCTTCACTAGTACACCGGAGATTCTGATCGGGCCATTCATATTTGTCAGAGCTCAATTGTTTGTTAAATGAAAATAAAGCTGGCCGCCAAAAATGTTTTATTTAATTGTGATGATACTTGGGCCATATTCACTAGAAATTCTTCACATTTCAGAGCCCTGAAAAACAAATTATGAGAGTATATCTTTTTTATAGACTGAAAGTTTGTGTCCCCTCCCAAATTTGTATTTTGAAGCCCTAACCCTCACTGTGCTGGATGTGGAGATGAAGTCCCTAAAGAAGTCATTTATGTCAAATGAGGTCATAAGGGTGGGGCTCTGATCTAATAGGATCAGTGTCCTATAAAAAAGAGACACCAGAGAGCAAGCTCATTTCCTCTCTCTCTCCTCACACAGACATGTCATGTACGGATGCAAGAAGGCGGCCCATTTACAAGCCAGGGAGAGAGCCGTCACTAGGAACTGAATCAACTGGAACCTTGATCTTCGCCTTCCCAGCCTCTAGAACTATGAGACATAAATTTCTGTTGTTTAAGCTACCTGGTCTGTGATATTTTGTCATGGCAGCCCTAGCCAATGAAAACAGATTTTTGTACTGAGAAGTGGGGTGCCCTTGTAACAAATGCCTAAAAATGTGGAAATGGCTTTGGAACTGGTTAATGGGTAAAGGTTAGAAGAGTTTTGAAGTGCCTGCTGAAAAAAGCCTAGATTGCCATGGATGTAGAGATAAGGATGTTAAAGGTGATTCTGCTGAGGGCTCAGAAAGAAAAGAGGAGAGCGAACAGAAAGGCTCCATCACCTCAGAGAATGCCTAAACAATCATCAACAGAATGTTGGTAGAAATATGAACATTAAAGGCCATTCTGGTAGGGTCTCAGATAAAAATGAGGAACAAGTTATTGGAAACTGGAAGAAAAGTGACCTTTGCTATAAAGTGGCAAAGAACTTGGCTGGATTGTGTTCTAGTTTTTTAGAAGATAGAATTTGAGAATGGCGAGTTTGGACATTTGGCTGAGGAGATTTCTGAGCAAAATGTTGAAGGTGTGGCCTGAGTCCTCCTGAATGCTTATAGTAAAATGCAAGAGGAGACAAATGAATTGAAGAGGAAATTTTTAGGCAAAAGGGAACTAGAACTTAAAGATTTGGAAAGTTCTCAGCCTGTGTATATTGCAAAAAATGAGAAAGCATGTTCTGAAGAGAAAACCAAGAGTGTGGCTGGACTATCATTTGATAAAGAGATTATGAAATTATATGAAGAGAAACACTGCCAGTTTGAACTGAAAGAGATCGAGGCAGAATAAAATGAAGGAAGTCTGTAGGACTTCTTAGATTCTACGGGATGGGACAATAGAGCTGTTTAGCTGCAAACATGTTATTCTCCAAGAACAGGGAAGAATGACTCCAGAGTTGGATCAAGATCATCAAGGCTGCCTCCTTGGTTTCAAAAGGTAGGGCCACCATCTTGGTTTCAACAGGTTGGGTGGCCCCTGCCCAAAGCCTCGTGGGCAAGACGTCCACCCAGCAGAGCCATGGAGAGGGGACCTTTGCTGGACAGAGCTGTGGAGTTGGGGTGCTGCCCCAGTGGGTCTGGAAAGTGGGGTCACTGCCCTAGTGGGGCCAGAAGTCAGAACATCGGACCAAAGAGGATTATTCTCATGCTTTAAGATCTAACAGAATTTGCCTCAGTAAGTTTTAGATTTGCTTAGGACCCGTCACCCCTTTCTTCTTTCCTATTTCTCTCTTTTGGAATGCAAATGTCAATCCTATGCTTTTCCTATCACTGTAGTTTGAAAGCACATAATTTGTGTGGCTTCACAGGTTCACAGCTGAAGAGGAGTTTTATCTCAGGATGAATCGTGCCTTGAGGCTCACCCACATCTGATTTATATTTAGACGAGACTGGACTTTGGACTTTAGACTTTAGAGTTGATGTTGGAATGAGTTAAGACTTTAGGGGTTGTTGGGATGGAATGAATGTATTCCGCATATGAGACGGACATGAATTTTACGGGGACAGGAGCAGAGTGTTATAGACTGAATATTTGTGTCTCCCCGAAATTCGTAGGCAGAAATCCTAATGCTCAGCGTGATTATATCAGGATATGGGGCCTCAAAGGAAGTAGATAAGGTTAAATGAGGTCCGTAAGGGTGGGGACCTGAGCTGGTAGGATTAGTGTTCTTTTAAGGAGAGACCCCAGAGGGCTGTGCTCCCTTTCTCTCTCTCTCTCCATCTCTCTCTGTCCTCAAGCACAGGCACTGAGGAAAGCTTATGTGAGAACATGGCAAGGTGATGGTTGCCTACAAGCCAAGAGACGAGGCCTCAGAACGAAACCTACCTTGCCAGGACCTTGATCTTGAACTTCCAGGCCCCAGAGCTGTGAGAAATAAATTTCCGTTGTTTAAGCCGCCCAGCCTGTGGTATTTTGTTGTCACAGCCTGAGCTGACTAAGATAATATTCTTTACTTTGGTAGGAAGGAAATGGGATGGATACGCAATCAAGATGTGACCAGAAAAAGAAGTCGATTGTGTTTCCTTAATGGTAGACAGTGATTTCTCCTTATTTCTGAGCCCAACACTTTCATGCTCTTAAGACGTCTGGGGTTAAGTAAATATTCCCAGAATGTTTTGACACTAATCTACTGATTCCACTCTCATATACAAACGTGTGAAACGAAATATTCCAGATACCATGTTTTTTCCTCAGAGACATTAGTGGACTTACATTGAATGACTGCCTTCAAAGAAGAAAAGAAAATTCTACGGGAAGGGACTTTTCATGTTGTCTTCAGCCTATAGAGTCAAGGTACCCATTCACAAAAGCTCCAATAGTACGATGACTGTGATATTTACTAAGTAGTTCAGACTTGGTCCAATTTGTTAATATTTTTAGAGGATTTTTTAGACATTAAGCATTAGGACCCTTCAAGAGACTCTCTCTTTAAAGAAATTTGTGATCTAAGCCTGGTGGTGCTGCGTCTGCTCTCAGGAGCTGGCTTTCATCAAGGGCTTTCCACCTACCCCACTGCCTCTCCTCTCTGGTCCCTCCTCCATTCACACCCCTGTCCCCACTGTCCTAAACATACTGAGTGACCTGCAGGCCCCTGAAGGTTCTAGACTCACTCACATCTCTGCCTTTGTACTTGCTAATCTCTCTGTTTGGAAAGTGCTTCCCACCCAGATAATCATATTTATCCATTTTAATTTTATCTATTTAACTAACACTTAGTGAGAGCTTTTTCGGGATTTGAATACAGGTCTTAGGACTTCAGTCTGTGCTTTTAAATGTGTGATATGTTCTCACCAAATCACCCGCAGACGCACTTTCTCTGGGAAGCCTTCCCTCAAAGGCTGGTTTCATGGTTTGGTTGTTTTTCCCGCATGTGCTGACAGCCCCTTGTGTTCACCATCATTGTACTTAGCACTGTGCTGTAATTGTCAATTCCTTTCTTTCTTTCCACAAATACATGGTGAGCTACCTGAGAGAAGCACTATCCCTTTTATCCTTGTCTCCCTCTTATTACTTGGCACATAGTAGGCCCTCAATAAATGTTGAAAGAGTGAATGAAGCAATTGACTGGGTCATATGCTGTCTCTAAAGTGTTGCTTCTCTGGATTGACTGGTTTATAGTAAAAACCACAGGGGGACTCTTGGTTTGGAAGTTCCATCCTGTTTTTATAAGTATCCAATTTTGTTTTTTGTCATTATGCACCATGCAGAAGAAGCCGGATACAATCATCAAATATTTATTAAGAATCTATTATTTGCCTGTGTCTGACGCACTGGGGATATATTAGCATCTGTGAACAAGATAGACAAACATGCCTGCTCTCGAGAATCTTCCATTCTAGTTGTAAATCACAGGTTGGGTTCTCTGGGAAGCACACTCTGACATGGAGTTTACAGATGAGGATGTTTGTTATGAGGAACTCTTGGTATCAGATTCTGCGGAAGGCAAGGAAAGGAAGTAGGATCAGAGAGAGGGAAAGTGGAGCAGCAGTGCAGGCATGATGACACTCCTGGCCACCCCACGGGGAGGTGTGGAGCTGAAATGGCCTATCAGAGTTGTCCCAACTGAAACGGCTAGGCCTTTGTCCCCCACCTGATTAATCATTGTACCTGAGCTCTCCCAGGAAGGGGATGACTTTGGGCAAGATGGCTTTGTGCAGCTGAGAATAGCCCTGAAGCGACAGACAGCGGAAGGCTTCCCGATGAGCAGGAGGGGATCTGATAGCGCGTCATCACGTCCACTGCGTCATATATGGTGCACATCCTATAGTGTACTGAAAAATACGTAAGCCCAAAGCCCAGATCCAAGGGGTGTTTTGCTTATTTTTTGGTTTGTTTCAGCAACAAACTATTTTAAAAAATAGAAAGAGTTGATCGAATTTATACGGTTTGGGAAAGAAGAGAACACTATAATGCTGATTATTATATAGGAGACTGTAAGTAGTACAGAAATGTGATTATTCCAATTTCAAGAAATTTCATTATTTTCAATACACATAATTTTTAAAAACAAAGCGGAGCTTTAAATCCTTTTTATAAAAGTATCATGGAAAATACATACAAAATGCTCATGTACATACAGAAAAGGGAGTGCTTAATGTGATTCAATGCTTACAGACTTACAAACGTTACAGACTTATAGTCTAAACTGAGAGAGTTCAAAAACTTAATTCACCAAGAAGAGCACAAATCTTTGTCAAAATTCCTGTTCTAAACTTCAGCTTGGAAAATATAGTCATTGTCCAATTTGGGTCCATTCCACCATTTGGGGATGAGTAAGCTAATGAAGATGTTGAGACCCATCAAAGAAAGACCTCTTCTTGCTGGCTCTCCAATCTCTGATTATGCTACTGTCTCCTCCCTTACGTGCTGACAAGCATTTGGCTAATTCAGGAGGCATCCTTTTGGCCACCTTCACTGTCTCTCTCACTTCCATGATTCTAGGGAATAATTCTAGCTGTCACTGTGCAGCAGGATGGACACTTTTTAAGATTCTCTACCCCGACTTTGAGAACTAGACCGGATGTGTGTGTACATCCACTGTCTTCATCAATAACATTTAGCTGTCTCCCAGGTCCAGTCAAGGTGACCAAGAGATAGAGAGGTGGACTATAACTCTGGTTTAACCACTAGATCCCTAAATTAAACATATCTGATTAGAGTGACAGATGTCTCCCCGCCTAACTGTGTGATCTTGGGACAGTAACTTAACTTCTCTGAGCCTTAGTTTGTCCTCTGTAAAATAGTAACTACTAGAGGAATGTGTTAAATAGTGCATGCTAAGTGCCTAGTACAGTGTTTAGCAAACAATAAGCACTTAATAAATGTCATTTCTAAACACTTTTTATTGTTATTCTCGTTAACATCGGCACGAAGGGACTGCGTTCATGTAAACCGTCATGTAACTATGACCTGCTCAGCTGCGTCCTATTGTCCCACAGGAGGCCCTGACATTAAGAGAAGAGCAGCAGCTGGTGTGATAGATAAAATATGGACAACCACGGTGTAAAAACAGACCAGTACAACTCCAGTCTCTTCAAGAGAGGGCATGGTAGTTTTTAGGCACTGCCCCTTTGTCCCTTGAGAGGAGAGAGGCAATTTATCAGGCTCCTATAGCTTGATAGAAACGCTGCTTGCAAATGTTCACCTCATCTTGGTCTGAGTCTCTCTTTCTTAAAATAACATCTTGTAGGTTCTCCTTGAAATGGAGTTTTAAGGTCAAGTACATTTGGAAAATGCTGTAAGTCTATTCTTCTAGTGGCAGCATTAGCGTATTAAAACCTCTGAACAATCTATGGTAAAGAGTCCCATCTCACTTTAACCCAGTGTTTTCCAAACATATTGGCCATTTTTCACACACACTGCCACCTCACTTCTGATTTTTTTGTCCTAGAACCAATACATAGCCCTGGTTGATTTTATTTTCCTTTTTTTCTTTTTTTTGTCCATGCAAACCACAGACCATGTCTCTCTCACCTTCCTAGCACCTCTGATAGCTAAAGGAGCAGGGCACCCCTGTCCTGCCATCTCCTGGGCACATACAGATCCAGGACCAACATGGCTTGCTTGCCTCCTACCCTGAGGCCATAGAAAAAGGCTCACCGAATCTCAGCCTCTACTCACCACAGCACGCCCTGGCATGTCACAGGCACACACCAAGGGTCCAAACAAGGGCTTGCGGCCCTGACCTGTGGCAGAGCAGACCTCCTCACAACTAGACCTGGGCAGCTCTCCCATTGAATGAAATGGCCTTCCCAGCACAAGGCGGGCCTGAGAGTAAAGACAGCCCTGATGCCCAGAACTCAACGTCGAGTGACAGGTGCACAGTCTACAGCAGGACCCGAGGCACCCTGGGCCCCTGCTGCACACTGCTCCCAAGAAACGGGAAGGCGCTTGGTCAAGTTAGTGTACCTCACGTAGTAAGTGAAGAGAAACACAGAAACCCACACATGTGCACGCACATCCAGACAAGCACACACATTCCTTGTGTGTTTTCCACAGAACTCCACACCTTCCTGGGCAGATAAGTGTCTCTTACTCCAAAACCGGTGATTTCTTCTCCCCTACCCAGTAGAAGGGAATCTTCTGTGAGAGAGGTTAGCAAAGCCATCTTCCAGAACCCTGGCATTTCTGAGTGAACGGTTAAAAATCTAGTTTCTGAATGTGCAAAACTAAGTCCATAAAGTATCTCCATGAGCGGATGTGATAGAGGAGAAAGGCAGCGCTCTTGATGTTAGGACACTGGGGTGTGGGTCCCGGTTTTGCTATTGAGTAACTGTCTTTAGCAAGTCATTTGTTGCACTCTTTGTTCTCCATTTTCCCCTTTCTTTAGTGCAGGCCAATAATGCCAATTTCACACTTTGCAGTTGAATGTGCTATGTACACACACACTGTCCTCATGATACGGAAACCCTGAAACGGTTATTCCCATGGCCGGAAGGCATTTGAGAGATTCTAGAGCCTGCCTTTAGAAAAGGGAATGTCTGAATCACTACTGAGAGAGCCCTTGCTTGATTTAATTCCCAACTCAAAGCAAGAAAGTTTGCACATGGGAAAAATATGGCTTTTCAGACATCACAGCAGGCTCTCCACAAATACTTGTCCAATTGAATTAAGTTGAAAACATTTAACTGATGCTAAAACTTCAAGTATGCGAAAACAATCTCTCCTTTTCCTGTAACTGGTCTTTCTATCCCGACTCTGTATTCTACTCGCTGCAGATCACCCGATTAGTCACTTCCGGGTGAGCTCAGTCAATTTGGTGGAAAGCTCAGGCCTATTCAGGATTTTCTTCTTGTTCTCCCCAGTTTCTGTGAGAGGCGTCTGTACAATGGTCATCTGCCCTGGTATCTTCTAGGGAGTACGATTGTCCCGTTTGCTCTCTAATCTTCTGCCGAGGACACTGAGCCTTCCCCACGTTTACATCTATGGAGGTCTGCGCCCGGCGCTGGCTTCCACGGCCGTGGTCTCCGCTACCTTCCTCGTCCCGTTGCTCCCTTCTTCCTCCGCCTTCCCACGTCTTCCTTGTCTCTTCCCCTCTTCCCTTCGCCTTCATTTATTTCTTTGTTTCTCTCTCTCATTCCCTGCCCCCACCCCCACACATACCATTTGTTGAACGCACAGCGTCAGTCCTACAAAACTTGCTAAGATCTGGTCCTTGTCTTAAGAAGCTCTCAAATAAAGGAGCCTGCATCATCAAAGTGAGGCCAAGAATTTCAGCCTTGAAAAAGCCTGAATCTCTCAAAAGAAGTTTTCCATTCAGGAAGCCAAATCCCCAAGCCCCAAAGACACTGACTCCTAAAGTCATCCATCTTGTCTGCGGCTCATCCAAGCCCGGAGCCTACCCACCTCCTGGCTCAGTGCCAGAAACTAGGGCGCTGCGGGGAGTCCGGACGCTTCCTTTGCGCGAGGCTGAGAAGAGGGAGGCTCCTGTTCGCTGCCCCTTGTTAATGGCCGTCCCTTGGACTGTGGTTCCTGATGAGGTAAATTCCCTCGGCAGGCTGAGGCAATATTTTCCAAAAGAAAGCAAGTTGTGTTTTGCGTTTGCCCCTCCTCCTCCTTGCGAGCCGCGCTCGGTTCCCAGCCGGGTCTGCCCACAAGCGACCATCTGGCTCGCAGCTGCTGTGTCCGAGTGGAAACGCTCGGCTTGAGGCCTGAGCGTCCAAGGGCTCCTTTTCCTTCTTGTAAATGACAACGTCTGCGTTGTAGGTCAGCCCATCCTTTCCACTGGAAAGGCAACAGCTGCCATTTTCTTTCCTTTTTCTTTTCATACGAGGTTGTTTCCAGGGGGAGCACATATGTCAGGCATATGGCAGGGAACTAGTTGGTTTAAATCGTGAGCGTGAGCAGCCGCGTTTCATCGACCCTGTGAGCGCAGCTGCCCCGGAGAAACGGTGGGGTTAGAGTGGTGGGATCCGGCCAAATGCGGGTCGGTTTGGTCGAGAGCGCCTGCTGATTGAGCGTTAACAGTGGTCTCAGCACCAGACAAGAACCTCTCCCTCCCATTTTCCTGCCCTAAACAACCGCAGTGACCGGTTAGAAATAACAATAGGTAGTATTTAAGAGTGCTTGTTAGGTGCCGGGCGCTGTGCTGAGTGCTTTGCATGCATTATTCTGTTAAATACTCTTATCGGCCCTAGGAAGTGGTTATCAATGTTACCCCACTTCAACATTTTGAAACCTGCAGCTTCAAGGAGGTGGGTCATCTGTGCATGGTCACACAGCTTGTCTGGCCTACTTTGTGCTTTCTCAATGGCGCGATTAGATTATCCTCAGCTCCTTGCGGGCAGGAGTCATGAATTGTCCACCACTGAGGTCTCAATACTTAGCACACAGCCTCAGTCACAGAAGATGCTAAAACAAAACAACACCAAACCCCCAAAACCCAAACTCCCCCAAAGCCAACAACTTGTGGAATGAACAGATGTTGAATGAACGGATAATAAATTTGTGCCTTTTGCGGGAGAAGGCTGTCTGTTTTCTCTCCTAAAACCACGAATCTCTCTGACCAACTTTACTGAAGTCGTCTACACTCAGGACTATGGTAGAGAAAAATGCCACTGCTGGACCGACCTCTCCAGAAACTGTTTTCGCCGCACATCATCCGGCAGTTGGCCCTTTTTATATAAAACTATATTGCAATTAATGTTGTCTTATTTCCGCCTGCAGTTTTCCTTTAGTCAGGCTGCTTGCTTCATTAATATATCCTCTTTGTTAGGCTTGCTCCATCCTGTCCACCTTCAAGTTCCAGCTCAGACTTGTCTCCTCCAGCACGCCTCTCCCAGGGTTCCTTGATCTCTGCTTTCTCCTACAGTGCTTATGACTCTTTAACACCAGTTAGAATGTAGTGATTGCCAGGAGCCTAGCAGATTACCTTTAGAGGCTAAGGGTTTAAGTCTAGTAAACTAGGTAAAGAGAACTGTAAGCAGATAGAGTTCTGTGTCCTGGACAGACCCTGGGGTAGTGGTCAATAATAACTTAATGCTCTAGCTTTTGGGCCAGATCCTTGGTCTCATGTCCTTCACGGCTAACACACCCTTCTTTCCTCTGCTTCTTTACACCTGTAGAGTTCACACTGTCTCTGTGTACACAGACACAGCCTTGTAATAAGAGTATTTCTTCATACTGAGGTTTTAGACAATGTTCTAATTGACATTTAAGTGTTTACTCGGTGCCAGACACTTTATCTACGTCACAGCATGACTCCGGTACTCAAAGAGCAGAGCCAGTCTAAACTGGAAGTATGCAAGTTTCTCTGGTTGGGGTTTTAGGAGGACCCGAAGGTCTTGTGCAGTCGAGGTCTTGTGGATTCCTTTTCCCTGAATCTTCTTTCTCATTTCTTGCTTCTTCCTCAACTTCCGTTCTTGGAATTTCATTCTCTTAGCTGGTCCTATAAAGGGGTTTACATTTGGGTTTTGATGACCGTAACATTAGACCTTGAGCTTTTGTTCTGGAAAGGCTGGCCATGCAGAGACTAGCTGTCAGACTGGCTGTGAGTTTTTCTTTACTCTCTGAACACTTCTGTGTCTTAGAACTAGGGTCAGAATAACCTTGTGGCTGATATTTGCTCAGAGGATCATAGTTTGTGAAGCACTTTCAGAAGACCTCTCTTGAGCCTTCAACTCCCGGTAAAGATGAGAGGGTTCTTATCCTTATTTTGCAAATGAAGAAACCAAGAGTTAAAGACAGTGAATTTCTGGTCCATGTCACACAGTCCAATGTCATTTGAATGACTGACGTGGTGTGCCCCCAGCTTTTTCCAACATACCATGCTTCCCATTCTTAAAATCTCCCCAGACAGTGTTAACCACCTTAGGATGACATGGGACGCTTATAAAAAATACCAATGCTGAAGCCCCACCCCAAGTGATTGGCATTTCATTGGTATGTTGGGAGCCTGGCCGTTATTATTTTTTCATGTCCCTGTTTTTAATGTGAGAATCATTGATCTATAGTCTTTATTTCCATAGCACTTGGTGAACTGCAAAGGATTCTAAAAATTGATAGCAGCTGTAAAGACTAGTGTTTTCTTCTTCGCAGCAGTTGCTGAAAGCCAGACTGTTAAACGGTTGAATCTCTGGAAAGGCAAATTTTCTGTTGCTACATGAGCTTCCAAATCCAGCTCCTCAGTCATTCTAGAAGACAGTTTCCCGCTCCAGACTGTATGCTGCCCCAAGCGAAATAAAAGCCAGAGGTTATCTCCTTCAACTGGCCAGCTGTTGGTATTTATAAAGCTATTTGTGCTCCTGTGATCGTTCTGCCATGGAAATTATATTTATAAGAGCTATTACCAGCTCACTTTTATATCTGACCAGCAATCCAGAGGAAAAATGTTAGCTAGTTTACAGTTTATACTTCCTCAGAAGTTTCATGGTGAAAACACATTTTCCAGTAAGTACATTCCTCTCTTTCTCTGGGTTTCAAGCAGAACATTTTAGATGTGATCAGTGGCTTGGATCCGGAAGCACAGTCTGCTCCTCCAGCCAGGGAGGCTGGTTTGCTAAGAAGCAGCAGGCCAGTGTGGAGTCAGCCTGAAGGCCGGGTTCTCCAAGCTCAGTGGACTAGAAGCCCCCTGTATCCTCAGGGGTCCTCATTTTGAGTGTAAGGACGGGGTCAGTTTTTCCTTCCGTGCCTCCATTGGAAGGTGGGTCTGATGTGCTGGGAAAGTTACAGAGAAAAGTGGAGGGAGGCAAAATGAAGAGAGACTTTTTCTCTTCTAAACAATTAAAACTCAGCTAATTGGAAGCTTCAGTTAATCAGAACTCCCTTCCACTGCAGTAGAACGAGACAAACCCTAACAAGACAAATTTATTATAAAAGCAATTAGAAAAAGAAAACCTTCCTATGTCCTAGGTTCTATTAGAGTGTAAGAATTTGAAATCAGAGATGGTCTTTATTCATCTTTGTATCCTTCTAACGTAATACAGTGCCAAAAGTATATTTGTACTTAATATATTTGTGTTCAAATTCATTTTTATTTTCATCAAATAAACGTGTGCTCATAGTTTAAAAAAAAAAAAAGCCAATATACTTTCAATCCTTTTAATGAGAAAATAGTAGCCTCTAGCTTTCTCCCGTTATACTCTGGTTCCATTCTTTAGCAACTGTAAAATATTTTGGTTATTTTTTCTGACATTTTACTTCTTATTTCTAAATAATGCATTAATGCTGACTTTTCTTGATTTATAGATTTTAGAAATTATTTATTAACCTGCTGTCAACTTTGGACAAGGTCTGCTGACCTATTGTGGTAGATGAGCGTGTGGCTGAGTGAGCTGCGGGGACCCTCCATCTCCCCTGATTGCTCCATCCCTAACCTCCTTTTTAAACATAGTTATGTCACACTTTTTGTTAAGCACGCATTTACTTCCATGTAAATATTATTTGCTACTGAGTCAAGTAGTATACTCTGATTATATTTTCTTTCTTGTATGTTTTGTTTTCTTTCTCAAGTTAATTGCCTGTTTTTAAGCTGAATTTGTCTATAAATTTTTCAGTAAATTCCTTCTAACTGCAACACAGTTCCAGTATGCCTCTCAATATTATTTTTCACATTTTAATATGTTATCACATGCATCAAATAATCTCGTAGCTCCATTTTGATATTTTTCTCTTGGAGACCTCTTTTTCTACTTTGCTCAAATCTTGGTGGGCTGTTCTGCAGAACTGCTGAACAGCTGTCGTCTTGTTTGTGGTATGCAGTCTCTAGGGTGGCCTCCAGAGAGCTCATCTCATCTTGGTATTCATGCTCTTGTGTAATCTTCTCCCCTGGAGTGTGAGTGGGAATTATTAATCTCTTGTAACAAACAGAATATGGCGGAAGCGGTGGGATGTCACCTTCTGAGTACAAGGACTATGGCTTCTACCTTGGAAACTCTCTCTTAGGCAATGGGGTGCACGCTCTCTCTCTTTCTCTTTCTCTTTCTCTCTCTCCTCTTCCTAGCACCTTCTTTTTATTCCATGGATATAATATCTTCTCTTTTCTCTCTGAGTTCATTCCAGGTGGTCATTCAGGTACAGGGACACAGTTGAAGTTGTAAATAAACACTGAGCCCAGATTGTGAACACACTGGAAAGCAAGGGGTGTTCTGTAAACAGTCAGAAGATCAAATGACTCAGGTCATGTATAGTCCTTAGCGCTCTAAGAGTCATGTATATAAAACATGTATGGCATGTATAACTCTTGTGTGTTAAGTGTTCTTAGCACATGAGAGTTCAAGAAATATGGGAAGAAGAGAAAGGAGAGAAGAAGGAGGAAATCTTTTTAATAATTTGGGTAAGAGAGAGTCTTGATTTGAACTAACAGTAGCATCGGATATAAAATAAAAGGAAGGATCAGAGACCCCTTAGAATAGTTGGAAGACCATCCTATGTGATCAGTCTATCCATTGTTTCCTGGTGATCTGTTAGTATAATCTACTTAGCTGACAGAATCTACTTATCTTTAGATAATTAGCTTCTTGAGGGCAGAGAGGAGTCCTCA